TTGATGTTTAAAAAAGAGGTAAGGTACAGTTTTTACATATCAATAAGGTACATACATATTTATAAACAGACCCAAGTACCTGTGAATTTTTAACCCCCCCCCCCCCCAATCAATTTCTCAGTAAATTGTGCATTTCTTGACGGAAATGAGATAAGAGCATCTGAATTACAATATCTATAACACAGTATATACAATATCCATAACAGTATGTAACAGGTTTCACAATAAACGTCAATTAATGAAATTGTTATTTTAGTTTTACAAGGGGTGGGGGGTGGGGGTGGAGACGTACTTCTACTTCATGCGGGATTTTGAACAAAGTATTTCTTCCTGCTATAAGCCTGTAGGCTCTCAGTGGAAACTATGTATATGTATATATGTATATACAATATATATATTGGATTTTTTCTGTCGGAAGTGGTATAAATTCAATTCCTCGCGCTTGCGCGGGATTTCATCTGGTAATGTCATGTTTTTGTGTGTGCTTTGTTGTGATTCTTCTATAAAGTTATATATTTCTACAATTAAATGCAATAATTCATTATCTTATTCTTGTTACTAAGTACAAAGAAGAACGACAAAGTTTAAAATTTTAATCAGGTAAAAATTAAGAATGGGGTTTGATTTCACTTTATATTTTTATTAAAATTTTCAATTTTATATTTTTGTACAGTGTCTGTAACTACATGACAAAAACGTTTACCATTTGTACTGAATTTTTAAACCATAAGTTTCCACTGACAGTGAAGAGAAACTTGGAAAACGCTAAAAATTGACATACTTAAAAACAGTTAGCTACCTCATACAAGTTGTAAACACGTTCCGGTAATGAGTTATCGTTCTTTACATCAAAACCTATTGGTAGTTGAAAGGCCTACATTTTGTTTCAGTAGTTGTTGAATCTGTTCGTTTAACATGGGCGCTGCCATATTTGACGATTGCGCATTCAATTCTGCGCATAACACAAAAGCTCTTTCCGTCCCAGTAGATGTTGTCAACAATGAATCATTCTCGGCCAATAACGGCAACTGTGTGTCACTTTCGTGACTACTAATCGTAGCAGATGAACAACTTTGGGCTCTTATGCTCTCACTCGATTTTTCCGACTAATTCATATCCAACAACCAAAAAGTTAAAAGTTCACAATGGCGAAGGTAAAGGTGGAAACAAAGCCACTAAAAATCGCACAGCATCCGATGTTTAAATATCGTTCTGTTCGTACAAAACGTTGAATACAGATAAAATATAGTCCAATGTCATGAAATCCACAAATCTAGAACACGTATCTAGAAAAAACGCTATATATTTTTGGAGAAATCAAATGCTGGAATTATCTTACATTGTTGCTGAATCAAGACGACTTTATCACTGAATCACATCTAATGTGAATCCTCAGTATGGTTGATTTGGTAGAATAAAATATTTGTAACTATTTAAACCAGACTTACTTATTCAATATCATTATCAAATACTACATGATCAATCTATTTGATTTTCTTTTAACAGAAGACGACGCGCTCTAAAGAGGAGGATGTTGAAAAAAAAACTGGCACCCCCTCCATACCCCTTACGCAAGGAACTAAAGCTTGAATTGACAATGCGCCGTAACTTGGAACAAGTTAAAATTATCACAGATTATATTGAAAAGTACTTCAGGTCCAGAAGGGTGCAGTTTGTTACTTTACATTAAATTAAATATTAAACAGTTTACATGAAATATACTTAACAGAGAAACTTACTAATGATCTGTCTTTATCGTATCAAACACGACGCTCTACCAAAGCCAAGACTTTGTTTTTTTTTCACAGATACATAAATTATTACAACTCACTTTATATTTAATGTTTGAAACAAATTGGTTCTATAATGGAACTCGCTTTCTGTTTGTTTATGTATGTCACAGATCAAGTCACACACTGGTGACAGATGGATCATTATCGGCGTTTCGTCAAAAATCGGTCACAGGTCCGTGAAGTCATTATCGGTGTTTTGATACAAACCATTAAAAATCACAAGTCCCCAATGCCTGGTTCGCTGTGCTTTAGGTTTTCCGCTGACATGGTTTTTTCTCCACTTTGGGTATTGGGTGTAATATATATAAAGAAAGAGTAATCATCACATTGATGAATGTATTTTGGAGAAAAAATCACGTACATATTCATAACAATCAGCAAAAAAGAATAACAGTTTTAAATCATTAAAGTATTATATTTTATAATCATTAAAATAAGTCTTTTACCTGGATGCTATAATATGTAATCTTTATGTAGTTGGTCCTGTCTTGGGCAACATGTTTCTGACTTGAGAGATTCCACACTCGTATGTTCTCCTCTGATCGACTCAACGTTAGCCATACGTCGGGGGCAACCTTGTTTTGTTTCAGCGAGTCCTCCAAGACGTAATTCCCGTTGCCATGAAAAGCACGGCGGAGTTTGTCGTTCTGGATGGAACTAACTTTGTTGATTTTTGTCATGAGGTTCGGTAGTTTATGTGGTTTCAAATTTAATGACTGCTTTAAACGATTGTTCATTGATTCGGATTTGTTGTTTTTCCATCGTTCGTTGATGATGCCTGTTTGAACGGGGTTGTACACCTTTTTGGAGAAGAGGCATTAAGCGATGTTCAAATTGTTGTTGAAAATGTGGAAATGTGTGCTTTATATGACAGTCCAAGTCCACTGTTTTGGAGTCGGAGAATGAATCGTCGTCTGACTACATTATTTATCATGCCTTATTGTCCAAATATGGTTGAAACGATGTGTTCTCTTTCCTTAGTTCTACAACCTTCTTGAAATATTAGTGCTACAACGTTCTTGAAATATATATGGACGTTATTCTTAGGATGTTTGGTGCACAGCAAATGGACAGAATCCGTAAAGGCATGGCAAATACCACGCCTTCCCCCGTATCACTGCCTATTTGAAGTCCAGTTGGAAATCCAAGTTTGCAGTTTAAATGACAGAAAATTGTAATATTGTGGGAATTGTGCGTAATGCGAAAAGTGTTGCTGAACATGTGTATTAAGTGAGATAATGACAAGAGAAAATTTTCAATAATCTGGATTAATGAAAATGGAATTTGAAAAGAAAGAAGATTACTCAACAAGTATCTTCGAAAGACCTACAGACAATACTTTGTGACTTTTAATGACACCCACTTCTCCTCGCACTATGACAAAGAGCATGACAGCCGAAGGCACAGTATGCCGGATGATAGTTTTAGTTCCGTATCTCACTCATTTTATGTAGACAATCACATTGAACTGTTAGTATTATGGAATTATCACGAAATGTATTGATTTAATTGTACATGTACTTGTTTATGCCCCACTGGAGTGATTTTCACGTCCCCAATTGAAGCCGTACGAACAACTATTTTTGAGACCTCATTCAGGCACTGAAGTCAGATAAAAGCCTCATTCCGGGAGTGGCAAATTTATTGAGCAATACAGTGACACGAACGATCACGAACGTTCACACTTCCGACACGGAAAACGAACAAAAACTTTTAAAAACGAAAACTGAAAAAACGATAATTATTATAACTCGTTCTTCAAAACTAAAAGAACTGCGAACGATAGTATTGTTCCCCCGCCTACCTCCAAGTCAATTTTCAGAAGTTAACACATTTGAATGACTTTTCATATTTATGTAAATATTTATATGAATTTTCATAAAACATAACTTATTTTGGAAAAGAAAGAGAGATAACTATAATTTTGGTAAAACTTTTTTCACTATAGAAATCAACGGAAGACGGAAAATATATTTACCCCCCCCCCTCCCCGTGAAACAAAAATTCCTTTTAACAGTTAATATGGATCGTTATTTCACAAATTCATACCAAAGCTTTTTGTGTTTCAAGGGGGGGGATGTTTACAGACAAAAAAAACCGACAAAAATGCTCATTTTTTCACCAATTTCGAAAGGGTTTACAACTTAAACGTTGTATTTTGTCAGTTACATATGTTTAATTTTATATGCGTAAAACATAAGAAAAGATATAAGGAACATTTATTCATATCCAAGACTTTTAAAATTTGGAGATGCTTTAAAGCCCGATTTCATTGGAAAGTATCGTCTACCCCCCTTATTTAAAGAGCTGGAATTGAGGGCAATTAACTATTAAACACTTGTATTAAAATTATCAGTCATTTACCATTGAACTGTTTTTTGCATTGAACAATGATTTTACGGCCAAATTGCCATTAGTATTGAATTAAATGGGTGTAAAATGTAGGCGGGAATCGAGGGTTAGCGTGCGTAGTTCTTAGTTGTGTGAGTGAAGGGCTGAATTTTAAACAAAACCATTTTTTTAAATTTCTATACATAATCAGTACCTTTGCTGCTTCTGGAAAAAAAAAATGATGGGAAGATAATCTAAGTCATAGAGAGAAAATAACACTGAACAAGTACCTACTGCTGGACATTAACAACCTGGTAAACTGTGAAAGAATCATTATCAACGAGGAAATAGCACAAGTTAAGTCATTTCAAATTTTCGTGTCTCCTTACGAACGTAAACAATGACAATATTTTAACAATATTCAATAAAAATTCATCCTCTGATTAAGCAAAGAACAAAACTAACAAATAACAGTAACAGTAAAATGATTGCGCCCATGAGAAACCGGAGATTCCTGCACGAAAAGTAACGCCTGGAAATGGGGCGTATAGGAGGAGGAATTTGTGAGAGATCCCGGGCGTCATTTCAGTGGAAATGCATATAAGGCAATGTAAAAGTTCCAGGTGTAACCTAGCCAGAATCCAAGAGGAATTGGACAGGAATTCGAGGCGAAAAATGTAAATAAGCGACGCCTTAAGAGGCGTAATATGCAAATTAGTGACGCCTCCTTGAAAGTATGATTCAAAGCAGCAAATACGCCTGGTTGACGCCTAGTATATACTTCATTTTAATACCTGAATTTCCGCACATCTTCGCCCCTATGGAATCGCAAAAGATCAATCATATTAAAAAAAAACAATACAGAAAATAGCAGAACAAGTTTCAGCATTTGTATTGAAAAGTAAAAATTTTCTTCATACCTGTTCATACATGTAAACATTCAAGTTAGAGTCGCATTGTTTCAACATTTGTATTGAAAAGTAAAAATTTTCTTCCTACATGTTCATGCGTTTATATATTCAAGTCAGAGTAACATTAAAGTTTCAGCATTTGTAAAAGTAAAAATTTTCTTCATGCATGTTCATGCATGTAAAGATTCAAGTCAGAGTCACATTTATTTTTTTTTCGGCCTTAACTGTTTCCTAGAATATTGATTCTCTCTGTTATGGCATCATATGGTTGATCCAACAAGGAAGCCGTTTTTCTTGCACCATACAACAACAAAATCTGAAAAAGACAGATCAATATAAAAATGCTTTAAAGGATCATTTTGTCATTGTATATTTAAGATACTCAAAAATTCTTTTGTAAATTTTGCAATAGCAAAATTTTATGAGGAAAACTTAATAACAGGAGAATGAATGTTTTCTTACTTGTAAGGACACTGATTTTGTCGCCATCAAGTACGGGCCTTGATCTTCCGTTGCGCAGCTATGTTAAGGCTGTCCGAAGGTTTAATATGCATGAAATATACCTTTTATTCTGAGCTAGATTTTGATTTCAATTTGTAATCTATGTATGAATTTGCAGTCAACTTGTGATGAGAGTGTAAACAAGTATTATAATAATGCATTTCTGAGATGTCACATGACTTCGTTGATCACGTGAATGACACTTATAAATTCCTAAATGTTGCACAAAAATCGCATCGGCACAAGTGCAAAACAACATTATTGAGAAAAATTTGTCCCATAAGTCAATTCATCGTGATCTTTGGTACATATAAAGTGCTGGGGGCAAGTCTGAATTTTATTTCTTTAGAAAATATTCAATGAGAAATTCAACTTACCCGTATACAAGGGGGCAATTTCCACTCATAATCGCAATTAATACAAAATAAGATAAATTACATACAATCCCCCAGCAAAATTCAGTTAGAGGACATACTTCTCTAGTAGATTCACAGCGAATATCTTCAATTTATCCTTATTAATCACTTGTGCCAATCAAATATATACACGATTTATAGATTCTAACTCTGTCCACGGACGTGTAAGGGGGAGCGTTTTGCAGTCAATTTTTTGTTATTGTTTGAATATATGTATATCGGACAAGTTAAAGGAATAACGATATTAAATTGCAAATGTTCAACATCTTAAAAGGACACTTAAGCTTAAAGAACAATTCAGACACTTGAATCAAACAACAACGCTAAAAAATCTTTACGTCATATGCTATTATGACGTCATATTTAGGTAGTTCAGAGAAGTTAATACAGTTGGAACAGTTTGATATTTTACGGACAGCCTTATCCTAGCCGCGTGTCTTTTTCCTTATGCCCTGGCCACGAGAAATGGCCAGAGTTTGCAAGGAGAAAAGCTCTGCCAGGAGTTAGTAACAAAGTGTGTACCCTGGCTTCTTCGATTTCCTTGCGGAAGAAGTGGCTATCCTCATGCCATCCGGGTCTACCTCCGTGTTTTACCCTCGACAAGCTTTATCTGGAAAAGTATTTTTTTCTCAAACATCATCAAAACACTGTAATTATAGTTGCATTCAATGAAAGTTTTGGTTATTAAAACACGTACACAAAAATAGAAATTCTAAAACACACAAAAAAGCTATAAATTAAATAGACTAACAACTAAATAGGAATGAAAATAATTCAAATCATACAAATATAAAAGAAAATTAATCTTTAATGCTTAAGTGCAATATTTTCTTATTACCAGTAATTTTAAAACTACCAATTGTTTCAAGGCTATAAAATTCTTATTAAATGTACCTTTTCCTGTTGTCCTCCCTTGTGCTTCCTGGATGAGCGTCTAAGTGGTGGTGATGACATGTGAAGTGTTTCAGTTTCAGTGGATGGTGCTGGCAGAGGTGATTGTGGTGATAGGATGGGTGATGGTGGTGCTGGCGGTGACGATTGTTGTGATGGTGGTAATTGTTGTGGTGGTGGTGCTGGCAGAGTTGATGGTGAATCTCTCAAGGTGTCATGTGTTATAGTGTGTGAAAGGTTTATATTCCTGTACATCTGTCCATGATCTGTAGCAGCTAGTGTTGATGTAGGCATTGGAGGTAAAAAGTCCTAGTTTTGTCGATATTCAGCTGTAAAATCGTGGTGTGCTATACTAGAAGTTTGGCGAGTGTCACTCCAGTTGTCTTACAAATAAGTATTTTGATGTAGAGGTTTGACGAGTCTTGGTGCCTTAGTGGAAAATCTCCACATGTGGCCTATTTCAAGGAAATAAAACATATCAATAATCAATTTGTAATCACTGTAAACTGAAATTGCATAAGATTGTTTAAAATAGTAACATCTAAAGCATAGTTCTGTGACTTATGTACTGCTGGTATTTATTTGAATGTACAGTAAGTACTTTCCCTTGCTTTACACAGCTCTATATGGTGCTGGAGCATCCTCAAGTAATTCTGGACTACAGGTCTAACTGATCCCTCCAAAACCCTACTTATCTCATTACTTTAGAATAAACTTACTGCGTCGGCCAAGTAATTCATATTACCGGTATTAGCACAAGTAGATTGAAATTTCGGATCCCTTGAGACCTGTTGAGAGCGTCCTTGAGTTAGTCTTTGGTATAGACTATAATAGATTCAGCTTTGCTTCCTCATACTCGGACATTGTGACTTGGAAAAACTTGGAATTGGTTTAGAATCTGAGCCTTCGAATGGCACGTTTATACAATACTCGCCCTTAAAGCTGAACACTACATGTAAAAGGCATTGTCCCCTATATTTCTCGTTCATCGGCGCTACCCCCTATATAAGCCAGACCTCTTAACAAATAAGTATTTTGATGTAGAGGTCTGACGAGTCTTGGTGCCTTAGTGGAAAATCTCCACATGTGGCCTATTTCAAGGAAATAAAACATATCTATAATCAATTTGTAATCACTTTTAACTGAAATTGCATAAGACTGTTTAAAATAGTAACATCTAAAGCATAGTTCTGTGACTTATGTACTGCTGGTATTTATTTGAATGTACAGTAAGTACTTTCCCTTGCTTTACACATCTCTATATGGTGCTGGAGCATCCTCAAATAATTCTGGACTACAGGTCTAACTGATCCCTCCAAAACCCTAATTATCTCATTTTAAAGTACTGAAATGAAATAAAAATATTTTGAAAAGACTTTTAAAAGTTATAAAATTATTGTGCTTCTTTCGGTTATAGTTGCCTTGATCATTTTCTTTTATTTTTCTGTATTTCAGATCTTATTGAAGATTAAAATGTAATGGTAGTGAAAAATTACCAGGCATTTCAGGAAAAGTCCTCTGAAAACTTGTAAGTAATGTAGACCCTTGGATAGTATTTATGGCGTTGTTACACATTTCCCATGTTTGCCTAAACGGTATGTCACCTGCTGGTTGTGTTGGCTTCCTGGGTTCGAGTGGCTGTATGTAAGTTGGCTGGATGGGTTGCGTTGGAGTTTCTTCAGATTGCTGGTTTTTGGATGTTTGAATATGATTTCGTGGAAATTTTACTTGCACTGGATACCTCTTATGTGGTACAGCTGATCTTCCTGCTCGTAGCCTAATCTGCAATGGTGTACAATATAATGGATCATACTCTTGTTGGAAATGTTTGCTAAAGGGCGAAACATCAAAGCGTAGGAAAGGACATACACATGTGTTTCCATACCAACCAGCTCACCCGAAAGGTCCTGAAAGAACAGTTAATGATGTACACCGTGATGCACAGCAAGCTATGGACAATTTAGAACAAAGAACTGGTTTCAGTGTAAATGGAGTGAAAGGACCTTCTTGGATTACAGTTTTTCCTAGATTCAATATTGTAAGCTGAATAGCTATTGACTACATGCATGGGGTCCTTTTAGGTGTGCAAAAATTGTCGTTACGTCTTTGGTTTTCTTCTGAATTTAAGTCAAAAAAAAAAATCCATGTCATTTTATTAATGTAGTCTTTACTGTGTTATCTGTAGACAGCTTCTTGTTTTATACTACCTGTCTGTAGATCAGGGACTAATATATATAATAATAATAATATATAATATACTCAGATTTCTGTCAAAAACGGTTCTTTTAATAAATCAATATTTTTCTGAATGGTTCTGAATTATGTCACACTTTCTGTGTTTGAAATCTCCTAAATTATACAGCCAAACTGTTGTTAAGGATAGTAGACAGATTTTGTAGGTCTTCAATTATTTCTTCGTTCAAGGTGTACTGAATTCAATTGCCCTCACCTTGAATACGTGTACTTTTTACTTTTTAAATTCTTTTTTGACAGAATTTGAGCTTTAGCTTTCTGCGCGGTCAGAAGTTTTTCAGATAGAGAAGCAAACTGAGAGCAATGACGCTTTAGAATAAACTTACTGTGTCGGCCAAGTAATTCATATTACCGGTATTAGCACAAGTAGACTGAAATTTCGGATCCCTTGAGACCTGTTGAGAGCGTCCTTGAGTTAGTCTTTGGTATAGACTATAATAGATTCAGCTTTGCTTCCTCATACTCGGACATTGTGACTTGGAAAACTTGGAATTGGTTTAGAATCTGAGCCTTCGAATGGCACGTTTATACACGCCCTTAAAGCTGAACACTACATGTAAAAGGCATTGTCTCCCATATTTCTCGTTCATCTGCGCTACCCCCTACAACCACCTATATAAGCCAGACCTCTTAACAAATAAGTATTTTGATGTAGAGGTCTGACGAGTAAAGACGTACATCTTACATTGCCGTGTTACTCGGTCGCGGTAAAATTATCTACTTTTATGCACCTTTTCCGAGCCAGGAGAAAAGTAACATCAAATATACAAGTCAAAACATAATTCACAAACAGAAAGTGCACATAAAAACAAGGAATAAACGTACAAAATCGAAGATCACGAAAGGACCAGAAGCTCTACTGGTGTGTACGTATATCAAAGGAAAAGAAGCACTTGGATTTGAAACTTTGCAACATGCAGCAATAAAAAGAATTATGTATCAATGTACATGTAGTCTATTCTATTTTTAGTAACCATAGCAACACCATTTACTGAATCAGAAATCGATACACACTATTATGTGTCCTAGTGTAGTCTAATTGTGCGCCAAACTGGGTTGAAATCGAAACAAACTGTAGCAGGAGTAATGTTTTAACAAAAAAATACAGAAATTTCTATTTTTTGTAACCATGGCAAACCCATTCATCAAAATCAAAAACCAATTCATCAAATTATGTATATTAGTGTAGTTTACTAGTGTGCCAAGTTATATTAAAATAAGACTAAAACTGTAGGAGGAACTGCGTTTTAAAGGAATTTTCACAGATGTTTCTAATTTTAGAAAACAAGGCAAGCCCAAAACCGGAGCACTAAATCATGTATCTTAGTCTACTATGCAGTTTGCCAAATTATATTGAAATCAGACTAAACCTTCAACGAAATTTCTATTTTTAGTAACCATGGGAACATCGTCCATCGAAATCAAAATCAGATGCACTATATTATGTAGTGTAGTCTACTTGTGTGCCAAGTTATATTGAAATCAGACCAAAGCTGTAGGAAGAGTAGTGTTTTAAGAATTTTTGCAGAAATTTCTATTTTTATAACCATGGCACACCGTTCATCAAAATCAACAACCGATACACTAAATTTTGTATCTTAGTTAAGTTTACCTGTTTTTTCAAATTGTATTTAAATCAGACCAGAACTGTTTTAAAGGAATTTTACAGAAATTTCTATTTTTAGTAACCATGGCAACACCGTTCACCGCGTACCTTACATTGACTTCAGTATACTTGCCAAGTTTAGTGAAAATCTACCGTCTGGTTATGTTTTAGGGACCATCTCAAAATACAGGTTCACTTACTATAGGATTATAAAGGAAAATACCATTTTCTCGCACTTCGGAGCAAATTATATAAATGCTACTACAGACTTTTTGCTCAAATTATATAATTGATGAGTAATACTATACTCTACATTTTATGCAAGAAACTCTAAATTCTACCGTCTGGTTTCCAGACGGGACATCTCAAAATATCAAAATTCATGATATTTTCATGTTTTTATGGAGTACTGCAAAACATGACAGACACCACATCATTTGAAAATTGGTTTAAAATATCAGTTATATAAAAACGTTATTAGATTTTCTTTAACCTGAGATTTCCTAATTTTGTTAATTTTTACAAATTATGTAAAGGTCGTTGCTTTAAAAAGTAAATACGCTTTATTTTACTATGTTGCGCGAAGTATTGCGCAATGAAAACCCCAGTCGACCCACTTAAATGGAAACTCTTCCCGTGTTTCTTAATCTTTTCGTGATAGGTGAGCATGCCTGAAGGTGATTTAAAATAAATTATGTTCAATTACCATTAAGGGAAAATAAATATGACATTTAAGTGTCAATAATCCCATATTAGAATCTGTTTATCAGATACACTGTATGCTGCAACAGCTAGGATACTTTCCCTTCCACAGATACTGGGCTCTTCAAAGGGGAAGGTGCTGCATTTATCACAGACATGCAGTCTGGTTTCTTTAATGCATGGTCTAAGACCTCTTGTGGTACAGTAAAAACATTAGAGACCTGAGTTACAACCAGACTTCTACAACGGGCTCGTTACAGGATAATATATGTGTACATGTGATAAATTTATGGAATACATTTCATCAAGTCCTTAAAGGTGCTTGGACACAGATTTGAAGGTAATATTTCCTCAGATTTTCTGTATAATATCATGACTTATATGTTGCTATAGCATTTCATACTAAAATATAATAAAAATCTTATTTCATCTCGAAGTTATTGAAACTTCAAATTTCTGGACGGATTTGATTGACACATCCTTGCACTTTCACAATTTTTAATTTTATTCTTAATACTGAAGAAAAGTGGCAGTTTTGTTGTGTATTAATGAAAAGTATTAAAACTATAATCCAGAAAATTCAGAGCAGAAATGTTCGAAAGCAAAACCCACTCACAGTATTGTCAGTCCGTGTTCAGTGGTGTGTGCAGACTTTAACAATTGTACACACCCAGTGAATCGTAAACATTAACAATAACAGAGCTCGTGCCCTGTTTACAGAAACAGTTTACGTTTCACGGGTGTATTCAATTTGTTAAACTCTGTACACAACACTGAGCACGGGCTGACGATATTAGTGAGGGGATTTGCTTTCGCACATTTCTACTCTGAATTTTCTGGATTATAGATGTAACGTTTTTCATTAATACAAAACAAAATCGCTTCTTTTCTTAAATATCAAGGATAAAGATAAAATTTGTGAAAGTGCAAGGATGTGTTAATCAAACGCGTCCAGGAATTCGTAGTTCCAATAATTTCCAGATAAAATAAGTTTTTAACTATATTTTCGTGTGAAATGCTATTGCAATATATAAGTCGTGATATTATACAGAAATTTTGAGAAAATATTAACTTCAAATCTGTGTCTAAGCACCTTTAATTCAGCAAAGCTTTTAATCTCCCATTTAAAAATAAAATAAAAAGGAAATATTTCCCATCTGCTTTTTTCGAAGTCTGAAAGGAAGATGGCTTCGTTCACTCTAAATAAGGAAAACGTTCCAATATCAAATGGACCTCTGTGTGACTTTTTGAATCAGCAATTTTTGCCGTCATAATTTGACTTGCTCCTTTGTTTCTTTGAGGTGTATGATGAAAGAGCTGAGACTCCTTATAAACGTCTTCAGCGCGTGTTTCTCCCTGCAGGATTTTGACGTCTAGTGTTTCCTCAACTGTTAAGGAAAAGATTGATTGATTACTGTTTAACGCCGAGTCGGCAATATTTCAGCCATATTTCGGTGGAGAATCAGTACGATCGGTTTTGAGAAGTTTTAGTTTCTCTGGCGGCCCCCAGTGAGCCTGCTCTTTTTCGGAAACCACCAGAGAAACGATCTTTTGCGTGCAAGGGGGTTGCAATCCTTATCCTTGACACGGTGCACCATTCAATGCCCCATCCGACGGACTTTAGAGTTAAAAATGTGTAAACAGTTAAGATATACATTGTTTAAAATCTTCCCAAAGGGATTAAAATATCTCTAAATTTTACTATAATAATCAGTCTCACGTAAATAATCTAAGATTGTATCAACATTGATATTTTTAAATAGTACTTGCATCGTGTTTGTATGTGAAAATCTCCAGGAATTGGTTATTTGTAACTTTCATTTATTAAAGCCAATTTCCGAACAACTTTAAACTGCCGAAAAATGAAAACAATGACAAAGAATTATCGATTGTGGGTCTAACATAGTAATAGTCATAAACGTTGTTTTCAAAAATGTCTGTTGAATTTAGTTGCAGTTAGTTTTAACCACTATATTGTTTTGATTTTTTACAATATTTCTCAGGAGTTTATGTCAGGACTTTTACAACTTCCCTAGAAAACCATGTCAACTACAAATGACCTATACTATATGCTGCTTCTTGGACACTTAGAGTTCTATGCTTAAGGATACGAAAGGAAATTTTGCAGAGTTTTGACCTTAATGAAGGTGAATTAACCGAATCTTGAATGTTTTGCAGTGTCTCAGCTAATGCGTTTTATGAATTGTTTGGTTCTGATTTG